CTGGTAGGGAAATCAAGCTTCCTTTCAACCCCTTTCAAGGGGCACTCAACACACGGAGCCATAGATCGTAAAGTTTGGCCACCAGCCCAAGAATACCCCTACCCTGGAGCTCATCAGCATTTGCTATAAGCTTCATCTCAGCTAAACAAACTTCAGGATTCAGAATGAAGCTTAAAGAGGCTGATACCAGTTATTCTGATATGTGGTTCAGACTCAAAATATAGGCAAGAAAGAAAGAAAGAAAGAAAGAGTCTTACCAGTAATAGAATTTTTCACATACACACTCTCTCTCTCTCTCTCTCTCTCTCTCTCTCTCTCTCTATATATATATCATTTTAATGAATCCACATTTTCATCTGAATGTTAGGATTCCCTTGCCATTTGGGCAATCCAAACATGGCAACGTTGCTTCAGCTGGTGAATGAAAATGCGGAAAAAGAAACTGAGCTGCTGGGCTCTGCTCTCTCTGCTCGGTGAAAGTCAGAATGTACAGGCGTGACATCCGCACTGGAAAAGCACATTTGATTTCACGCCTCACACTGACAGATGAAGTAAAGGGGAAGACATGGGCTGGCTCTATAGTTTTGGCACAGCTTTGTGGACTGAAATTCCAGGGTGTGTAAACTGGTGCAGCTCCCCTGACTTCAAGGAAAGTGCCCTGAGCTGTACTTGGCAAACCACTTCCCCGTGATTGTCGGTCCCAGTGGATCTGCTGCTGTCTAAGCCCCAGCATTACAAGCCTCTCCCTTTGTCTCCTAGCACGTTCCAGTGGCATAACTGGTCTAGCATATTCCACGTCACAGCTCAGTATCCACTTGGCCTGACCTGCCAACATCCTACCTGGTAAAGCGGGAGGGATTCTTAGATGTCTGGGCACTCGCCGACTAAGGTTAGCAGAAAACCCACATCCTGGTGTTCAGTGTGTTAGGGCCAAATCCCAGCTGTTGTGAACCAGTGTGGCACCATTGGCTTCAGTGGGGTTATGCTACTTACACTAGCTAGGGATTTGGCCCTGAATTTGTTGGGAGAGCAATTCCTTACAAGGAAACGCAGATTTGTTTTGTCCTTCTTAGTGCAAGCCTAGATGTCCCTAACTGTCAAGGCCTGTCCTTCAGACTTTGCTGAGAAGTAGCAGACCCATAGCACCTCTCTGAGGACAAATAGCGTTTCCCTGGGTTTGCTGTGGTTGGAGGAAGATGACAGAAGACCAGCCATTGTAGGAGTCTGGATCTGCTGTTGCTAACTACAGCCTTGGGTACGTCAGCACGGAGCATTAGTTTTCTATAGACTTGGCCTTTTGGAAACACCTGCTGTCCATCCAGATCACCCCATAAGGGTTCAGGAATTACTCCAAGGTTGAGTCCTTTAGCAGCATGGCAAAGGGCAACCACCCAGACTCCTCTGAAACCACTTATTTCATCCTTGGACTGAACCTCTGGGACTCTCAGCAGTAGCACACAGGACTGCCCTAGCCCCAGTCAGACTCCATCCTTCCTCCTTCCTGACCACACCCTGCTGCTTTCACTGGCCAGCCTTACCCAATGTCTCAAAGAGCACCTGACTCCCCACTCCCCTGCAGCTGGGGAAGCCACCAAACCCAAACCAGAGGGCCAGCTGTGTGTCATCCCTGTGTCCTTGTGTGGCTTTGTGCGTGTTACTGTTGCCCTCTGCTGGCCAAAAGTGACCTGCTTGAGAGCTGGAGCTGAGAGTCCCAACAGGAACCCCGAAAGGCCCTGCAGAAGGAACCCGCCAACCTCTGACAGCCAAGGAAGATGCCTAGTTAGCTCCGGTGGTGGATGCCTGTGGTTTGGGAGCTGCAGATTCCTGTGCTGTTTATCCCTGGTGAGCGTAGCTGGGAGCTGTGGCAGTGCAGGCCCCGGTAGTATCAGAGAAACCTTGCTACACAGGCCTGGTGTTGCTTGCAGGCTTCCTAACAGTGAGAGCTCCCTTGCAGAATAACATCAGCGGGGCCAAATAGGCCAAGCCTTGGAGCAGGGAGTCCTGGAAGCTAGGCAGGTGCACAAACGGACCCAGCATCCCTTCAGAGTGGTGCCTTCTCATGGCTGCAGGGACCAGGGGGCCTTGTCCTCGGGGGGGTGTTTAACCCTGACAGGTGCATGCACCACCAACCCTTGACTACATCTGCACTGGCAGACAGGGCTGCTTTGTCTGGGCTCCTGTCTGCACAGAGCTGTTCCTTATTGCTCATGCACTGCAGTTGTGTGCATTCCCCTGCAAAGAGGCATCTGTCTTGGTGCGCTGGAGGAGCTGTTCCTCAGCATTGCTGGTCTCAGGGTCAGGGCCTTCATTTCTGAACATTTACTCCTCGTGGTCTTTGTACCCCTTTGTGTCCCTCAAATAACACCCTCCCTTTCTTTAGTACATAGCGTTTCTACCCCTGGAACCCACGCGGGCTGTTAAATCTCCTCCAGTTGGCTGGGACCTT